AAAAAAAAAAAAAAAAGCCACCAAGATATATCATGTAAAAGTATAAATTCCCAATGATGTCATATTGTATACCTAAAAATGTACCAATAAACTTAATTTTAAAAAGTGCCAGCCCTGATCACCTTTTCTTTGCCTTACCTGCTTATAGAGCAGCCAACAAGCAAGAATGATGATGGCGGGGGTAAGGCAAGGATAGCCTGATCGGGGCTGTCATTTTTTGACATAGTCTATTTAGTTCAGGGTGGCCTTGAACTGGCAGCGATCCTCCTGCCTCAGCTTCCTGATGGCTGGGATAACAGGCATTGGCCACCATGCCTGGCTCTGGGGCTGGCATTTTTGATCTCTAGTTTTCAAGGCTTTTTTCCAGCTGGGTCTTATTTCAGGGAGAGGGTAATGAGACCCTGTCTCAATACCACCCTCTTCCCAAAAGTTATTGAGAATAAAAAAATTACTGAAATAAAAAAATCACTGAGGACCAGAGAGCAATGTGCCAGGAACCAACTGAGGAGTCACCTTACTCCTTGTTCAGTGCACTACTAAACTGTCTTCTCTTGCTCTCTCTCCCCTCCTCTATCAATCAGATGATCATCTATCTTTTGCTGGTACTGGAGATCAAACCTAGGGGAGCTCTACCACCGTGCTACATCCCAGATCTTCTTTTACTTTTTGAGACAGGGTCTTACTGGTTTCCCCAGGCTGGCCTTGAACTTTCCATCTTTCTGCTTCAGTCTCCCAAGCAGCTGGATTACAGGTATGCACCACTGTTGCCTGGCTAAACTGCACTGCTTTAAAAAGCAGTCTTGAAAAAAAAAAAGTAGCCTGATATACTTACCATACAGTTGTTACTCCATACCAACAAAGTAGTATCATTCTGGGCTGTCTCTAAAACACTTTTTTAAAAAAACCACAGCACAAGAGGCTCAAGACCCAATACAGGCCAGGTGAGGTGGCACACGCTGTAGTTCCAGCACTTGAAGGAGGCTGAGGCAAGAGAACTGCCACAAGTTTAAGGCCAGCCTGGACTACGTAATGAGTTCATGGCCAGCTTGAACATAGCGAGATGCTGTCTCAAAAAAAAAAAAAAAACCAATGCAAGGGCTAGGAAACAACCAAATCAGTATAAGGATCAGAGAATAAGCCACTTCAGGAAACTGTTAAGTTTCACAGGAACTTGGAATAGCTGGGAATGAGGCAGGTATGATGCTGTTTCTCAACCATGAGGTGTCTGTTGTTATTAGCTGTGGGAAACCTAATTGAAAGCTCCCTTCTGAAGACTGATGGTTTGACATACAAACATGAAAGGGGAGAAGGACCCCCAAATTAAGTGGGGTGAAAATACTCCTCCAGAAATAACTGGCTACTTGGAACTGCGACCCCTGGGGGTGGACAAGCACTTCTGTCTGGTCACTGACGGCAACTCCAACTTGGGAAATAACATGATAGTTTTGAGGTTCATATTTTATTTACAAGAAAATGAAGAATGTCCTTTGTAACTTCTAATTGGGAATAAGAAAAACAATACAAAGACGCAGGTGCTGGCTCCACAGTGAGCATGGAGTCCATGCCACTTTTTTTTTCCTTTGAACAATGTTTTTGCTATTTCAAACCACAAAACAGAATTCCATATGATATCTTCATGTTGCATATGTGAAAGAATTAAAAATAAAAATGACCGGGTCGGGGATTTAGCTCAGTGGTTCTGCCGCCTGCCTTGCAAGCGCAAGGACTCGAGTTTGATCCCCGGTACCAAAAAAAAGAATAAATAAAAAAAATAAAAATGACCAAACTAATTTTCTGGCCAAATGTGGAAGTGACCAGGATGTCATCTTCTTTCAGAGACAGCCCTAACTCTCCAAGCCCTAATACTCATCAAGAGTATCTGCTCGAGGAATGGAAAGACCCCGATCCTTCAAGGCCTGGACTTTCAGCTTCTCTGCTTCCAGCTTGGTCTGCTGCTCCACCCTCTGCTCTTCCAGGATCTCCTCAATGGACACTTGCTGGAGGGGCGTGTCGCTCTCCTTCTCCAAGTCCTGCAAAACAGGCAGCTCTGAAACCCTTCACCTGAAGCCCAAGAAAAGCAAATCTTACAGATCCAAAGGCACATGGGGTCCTGCATCAGAGCTGGGAAATACCCTGCCCAGAGACAAGCACATTTTCAAAGGCATGGCCAGCAACACCATGACAGAACACGTGCTCCAAATATGGTCACTGGGACCAGCATCAGTGTGCACATCAGTAAAACCTTTGGCTTAGCCAAAATACTGCAGTAATTAGGAGTGACTTTAGTCAAGGATTAACTTTTCTTTTTTTTTCCCAGTACTGGAGATCAAACTCAGGACCTTGCACTTCTGAGGCAGGCTCAGTGGCACTGTGCTAAATCCCTGGCCCAATTTTTCTTTAAAATAAAATTATTAGGGCTGCTTACAGGGAGCTATCTTCCTAATAGTACAAAATCCAAGAAAATTACTGGTAAGTTTTTATATTTTGAAAGTCAGCTTAATTTCTTTTGGTACTGGGGATCAAACTTGGGACTGTGTGCTTGCAAGGCAGGTGGCGGCGGCAGGACCACTGAGCTAAATCCCTGGCAGTCACTTTAATTTCTGAGAGGTGATGCTCAGTAAGGAGGTAGAGAACATGGATTCAACCCATTTCTAATGGCAATAAACTGTTTCTCTATTGGACTAATTATGAGCACCTAAATTATAACAAGATTCTTCTCCCTTTTATGGAAACAAATCTACAGAAAACTTCATCAGGCTGGATGTGGTGCAGCATGCCTGTAATCCCAGCACTCAGGAGGCAGAGGCAGGAGGATCACCTTGAGTTCAAGGCTAGCCTGGGCTACATAGTGAGTTCAGGGCCAGCCTGAACTACAAAGCAAGACCCTGCCTCAAAAAACAAAAAACAAAATAAAAGAAAACCATCAATCTGGGCATGGTGGTGCATGCCTATAATCCCCGCTCTCAGGAGACTGAGACAGGAGGATCTCATCGCAAGTATGAGGCCAGCCTGAGCTACATAGTGAGACCCTGTTTCAAAACACAAACAGATAAAATTACAGTATCATTCTGTGTTTTCTACTCTTTTGTACCATGGACAGCCTATCCAGACAAAGTACTCCTGTTTCTTACCTTCCTTTGTGACTTTATGGAGGTGTGGGTCAGCACTGACACATCCACAAACTCTGCAGATGTTTCAGCCTGGACACTAACTGTAACATGCTGCCAAGGTTTACAGGCCTTACCAGGGGCCCTCTCACCAGGCACTATAAGGAGTCACACAAATGACTTAGGCCACCCTTGACCTCGGTCAAAAGTTAACAGCAGTCAGCAAAATTATACCATCACTTAAACCTCCCCACCCTGGGGCTATCGGCTGGGGGAAAGACAGTGTCCTCTTCTTAGTGTACTCACTGTCTTGGGGCCTTGTAATGTGTCACCCGCTGAGCTATGCACGATGCCCCGAGACCTTGGGTTTATTACTTCAGGCCGCATGCATCACATCCTTGAGGTGGAATCCAGGGGCCTGTCAGGCCAGGCAATGTTTAGGAAATGTGAACCACTCCTGGCGAGTTTCCTTGGCGTCAGTACATAGTTTCTTCATGCTGACTTCTGACCCACATAACTGCGTAAGCATTCCTGACCTGTTTCTCCAGTGGTACTACTGTAAAACCGCTATCCAAACACATTAACAACAAAAAAATTCCACATAAGGAACCTCCAGGAAATAATGAATCTTTAAGAACAAACAGGTTTTTATTTTTTTTTCAGTACCGGGGATCGAACTCAGGACCTTGCACTTTTGAGGCAAGCATAGTGCCACTCAGCTAAATCGGCGGCACAAGAAAAAATAGGTTTTCTTCCCTTCCTCTTGGCACAGACATACATGCCCAGCACGGACAGCCCTTCGAGCAAGGTAACTATTCACCACTACAAAGCTGATACACATACGTGTAAATGCTGAAGTCTTTCCCTTGACAGCAAAGGAGTGTGTTCTCTCTAGAAACTGAACACAGAAAAGCAATCAAAACCCCCCAAATTCCCAGCACCCACAGGTTGGGGAGCTCCTCTAACACAGAGGCAGAGTACCCTGCCGTCCTTGGGGTACCAGGTGCTTTACTTCAACCTTTATATAAAATGGCAATTTCTGCTGCTTAAACAAATGTTAAAAATGATAAACTGAACCAAATGTACCAAGTAAAATATATTTTCTAAATGAGAAAACAGCATTTTAGGCTTGTCCCTGCAGCACTTGGACAGTGCTGACACAGTAGTGACTAGTGTGCCAGTCACTTCTAGCTGATTTGTTTCCAATATAGGGTTTCTGCACCAACCCGACCTTCACCAGGTTATCTCCTCCAGGCCTCAAATTGAAAGTTCATTTTGTATAAATCTGAGTTGTCTCCCAAAATTGAAGAATAAATTTTGAGGACAAAATTTTGAGGAATTTAGGAGTGTCTATTGGAAATAATAATAAGAAAAAATTCTTGGTGGATACTTGAGAGGGGAAAGAATTCTGATGTACCTTCTTTGTTTTGGCCTTATATATGAGGTTTGTTTTAAACAGGTGGCCTTGAACTCACTATGTAGCCCAGGCTGGCCTCAGACTTGCTGCAATCCTCCTGCCTCAGCCTCCTGAGTGCTGGGATTATAGGAGTGAGGTATCAGGGTGTGAGCCATCAGGTTCCCTTGGCTTTGGGGTTTAAAGGAAATTAATTATTTAGCTGGTTCACAGGAAACTGAGTTCAAAGGAAATTGGTCAATTCTGCATTCCTCAGTTTTTCCAAATCCAGCCAGGAGATTAGGGAGGAAATGTCAGCTAATTTAGTACATCTTTTTTTTTTTTTTTTGGTACTGGGGATTGAACTTGGGACCTTGCGCTTTCGAGGCAGGTGCCGGAACCACTGAGCTAAATCCCCGGCCCTTAGTACATCTTCTTCTTGGGAGTAAAGGTCCTTATCTCCTTTCGTTCTGTTTTGTTTTCTTCAGACAGGGTCTTTTGCTTTTTTTTTTGGTACCAGGGATTGAACTTGGGTCCTTGTGCTTGCACAGCAGGCAGCGAAACCACTGAGCTAAATCCCCAGCCCTTCAGACAGGGTCTTGCTATGTAGTTTAGGCTGGGCTTGAACCCTCAACTCATTAGTAGCCCAGGTTGGCCTCCAACCTGTGGAGATCCTTGTGACTTGGCCTCCTGAGTGCTGAGACTGTACCTCTGCACCACCATGCACTGGCATCCTATATTCCTTTTTCTTCTTTTTTCCAGTACTGGGGATTGAACTCAGAACCTTGGGCTTTTGAGGCAGGCGAGGTGCCAATGAGCTTTTCATGAATTTTATTGGTACATTTTAGGGTATATTTCTTTTTATTGTAGTTTTCATCCTTGTTCTATTTACCTTTGGATCTCTAAGCCTGGCTCAGCTTCTTGCATGAGCTCTTAGCCCAAGTGGGCTAGTTCTGTCTACTCATAATAACTAAACTACATGTACTCACTTTGGCAGCACATACACTGAACTAAACTACTACAAAATGACATTGAAAATAGCTACAAATCAAACTATTCTATTCAAAAGACTTCTGTAAACTGAATTAAGGTGTGGCTAGATATTGGGAAATGTTATCAAAAACGTAAAAAAAAAAAAGCAAATGCCAAAGTTCTGGGTAAAGAAAAGAAAAATAGAGCAGCTGGTTACCAGTCCTCCTCTCTTTCTGCCTCCCTTTCATCTCTGTGGTGCTAGGGATGGAACCCAGGGTCTCAAACATGCTGCACTGCTACTCTTCACTGAAATACAGCCCCAACCCCAGCCCTTAATTTCCATTATTTTTGAAGGGATTTTGATGTTGATTTTCATGGCAAACCCATTAACCAGAAGCAGTAGGGCTTGGTTACAAGTGTAAACAAGGTGCTAGTTTGTATCCATGTGCACACACCACAGGCCCAAATGACAATGCTACAGGAGGGGTCAGAGCCACAGAGCCCTGCCTCCTGGCTGCAAGCCAAGGATCTGTGCAAAGCTGACATCCATTCCCAGGCTAGGTCATAGAGGGGCTTTGCCTCTAGCCACTCCTTCCCCTTGCTCTCTTTAAAATATGAATAATACACTGGGTATGCAATGTGTCTTTCTCTCAAATGCAGCTGACTTTATGTCATGAACTACCTGTAACCAATTTATTTAAACAGTTGCAAGATATTCCAATGTATGTAAACCATACTTTTATAACATACATAAAGCTTCTTCAACACATGTAAAGCTTCTTCAGTTTTCTGCTACTAGAGATAACAGAAATCCTGTATTAATGAGCACATTTATGTAAAAGAATTTTTGTTATTGTTATTGTTTTGTTTTTTTGAGACAGGGTCTGTGTATTCTGGGCAGGTCTTAAATTCACTATGTAGCACAGGCTGGCCTCAAACTCATGGCGATCCTCCTGCCTCAGCCTCCTGAATGCTGGGATCACAGGCATGCGCCACAAGGCCCATCTCCCAGCTTGTATTTTTTTATATTGGGTAAAATCAATATTTTGCCAACAGGATAAAAATCTTTAAAATGCCAAAGGCACTGGAACAGAGTTAATTATTCTTAGTAGCTTCCCTTTGATAACTGTAGCTTTCCTAACTTTGTAGGTGACTGTCAGGAGCTGGGTAAAATATGGAAATTATTTTTTTTCCTCTTGAACAGACAGAAAGAAACCTAACTAGCATGAATAGCAAGATCCATAGCAGCTTAACAGTTTTCACTTACTATTTCTCCTAGTAGGACCACATTTTCTCCTCTGACCACAAAAATCCCTCGAGGAATATCACCGTATTTTTTCCCCACATGAATACGCTCCACAGTCTGATGTAGCACTAAGTTAGCTATAAGTGCACAGGGAAGAAACAAAGATATTTAGTTCCTATTATTGAGGAAAGGTCCATAAATTATTCAGTTATACCATTTTGAGAAGAAAAGACTTAGCTAAACAAAATCTGCAAACTTTCTCATTTGGGGAAAAACAGAAATTTCAAATAATCTTCTGTTTCACTGAGTAAGACACACCGTTTAGGAAATCTTTCAAAAACCCACAAATTGATAGTACTTGGGATAAGGTTGCACTAAGTCATGAATGATAGCAGAAATAAGTTCCTTTCTTGATTAATTGCCTACACCAACATGTCTACAACAACTCATGTATGAACAGGAATTTAGAAAACCTGAGCCTAAACAAGCACAGAAATTAAACTGGTGTTTTGAAAGAGCCGACTTTTCTTCATTGCATGGCATGTGTATGACTTTCTGGAGATTTAACTCTGTTTCTGTACTCAGGATTCATTTAACTTAGTGTTAAGTATCCATGGATTACGATGCAGGAAAGACCTTTTTCTCACCTATCAGATAAACATACCTGGTATCTGAAACTCAATATTCACTCCTTTACCTTTAAAGTACTCTGATAGATTTGAGATTTAGAACCCTAATCTGTTAAGAATAATTATTTTTCTTCTTCCAATTAGTAATTGTATTATTTGAAGTAAATCAGAAATGTATGTCGTATCTTTTTTGTTTCTTTTTTTGAGAAGAGGTTTAGCTGTGTTGCCCAGGCTGGCCTTGAACTCCTCAACTCAAGTGACTCTCCTGCCTCAGCCTCCTGAGTAGCTGGGACTACTGGTACACACTACCAGTCCCAGCTATTTATATCTTCTATAATTCGTGTGTATCAATTATGTTGGGTTTTTTTCTCATGCTTAAAACTAGCGATCTAACAGGTATCTAACAATGTAGATGTGAACTGAGTTCTTAAAACAGAAAGAAACACAGATGTCTTAACTTTAGAAAAATGCAGACTGCAAAGCAAAGATGGAGACTCCAGAGTTTGCTGTATCCCTATATGTAAAACATCAAGTTTAACATTAATAAAAAGCCTCAGAAAATGCCTTTTGCTCACTTTTCACTGGATAGGGAGGGATTACCTTCAGTGCAGGTAGTGCTTTGAAGAGTAGGAGCACCCAAGCCAATACAAAGGAGCAGCCTTTGCAGTGCACTGAGTTTTTTTCTACCACTTGGCTCCCTCTAATGGGGGAAATAAAAAGACAGTCCAAAACACTGTAGTGAAGACCAGCTTAAAAATACGTGCCTGTAAATACACAAGCTTTTGAATCACCCAATCACGATGTAGAAAACAATGATTTACTCACTCAAAACAGTTCCATTATGCCAGGCACATGTAGGAAAGCTGCAGATAAATTTTAATATGAAATAACAATAACAAAAAAGCAGTGGGTGGCTCTTACTATCTAGAGAATTAAAAGAGAAGTCCATAGTTAATACATACCAAATTGATCAATGCTTCTTAAAAAGCCTATAAGTGTCCTTCCATCTCGAAGCAGGACCAAATGTTTTTCTGAGGAGAGGAAAAAAGATATTTCAAATGAATCCTGTCTGCTTCAATGAGTTTACAAGGTAACAGTAAAATAAAATTAATAGTTTAAGCTGTACCACTTCCTCTGGCAATGCATTTAAGCTAGAGCTCACCCAGAAAAGGGAAGCAGCACTACAGTGGCTGGGCACTGGACTAGAGAGCAGTGGTGAGGAGAACTGTGCAGCAGGGTTAGAAAAGGCCAGAAAGCTGGGCTGACCCGACCTGCACGTTTGACACAACCCTCTCAGTGACATGTCGGTTTCTAGGCTGTAAATAGACAAATTTAGTCTAGATGATCTTTATGATCTTAATCCTAGGATTAGTTTTCTTTCAATTTAAAATAATTTCACTAGGCGTGGTGAAACACACCTGTAATCCCAACTGAGGCAGGAGGACTGCAAGTTGGAGGTGGGCCTGGGCAATTTAAATTTAGTAAGACCCTGTTCTCAAAAACAAATCAACAAACAAAACTTCCTGGAGGTATAGCTCAGGGTTAGAGCCCTTGCCTAGCATTTGTCAAGTCCTTGAGTTCAGTCCCCAGGATCAAAACAAAAACAATGCCTCAGACATTTAAAATGAGAACATGATAATTTTCTAGAGAAGAAGCTCAATATTTACTCAGAATTATATTCTGTTCTGGGGTCTGAAAATTCATAAGGGATCAACCTTATGAATTTATATTCATTGTGGGAGAAAACAAAAAGAAAATTACCGGGCCGGGGATTTAGCTCAGTGGCACTGTGCCTGCCTCGAAAGTGAAAGGTCCTGAGTTTGATCCCCACTACCAAAAAAAAAAAAAAAAAAAGAAAGAAAATTACCTACTAGTACAATAGAGTAATAAAAAGGTAGCAGGATAGCAGAAGAGAGGGTGGCAAGGGCAATCTTCTCTGAACAGGGAACTGTGAGATGGCATTGAATGACAAGAATAAGCCTGTTACTTATTAGAGAAGTTAGAAAATTTTCAGTCATTCATTTCTTTTATGTCATGCACGAATATTTTCTAGATACAGAACAGCAGGGCAGTGATTTCTGCCCTGAAGGCACTTATCTTCCTTGGGCTGTATTTAAGTTCCATAGGCAATTCCTTAATTACATGAGAGCAGAAAGAAACTGTATTCACCTGGAGAGGTATCTGAGTTGGACCTTGAAAAGTAAATAACCATTGGCCATGAAAAAGGGAAGGGAAGGGAAATCTGAAAATTACGCAGAAGAAAAGGACTATATATCCATATGTGCGGCTGAAAGATGCAGGTATGAAGGAAAAAAACAGGAGTTAAAGTCAGAAAAGTATCAGGGGAAAGCTGGCCGTGGTGGCATATGCTTGTAATCCCAGCACTTGGGAGGCTGAGGCAGGGCTGTGAATTTGAGGTCAGCCTGGGCTATGTAGTGAATTCAAGGCTGACCTGGACTACATAGTAAGACCCTGTCTCAAAAAAAAACCCAAAAGAAAGTACTGGGGAAAGGTGAATTTCAGTTTGACTTCACAGGGACTCAGAAAACAATGAAGATTCATCTAGCAGAAAAGCAAGAGTTACAAGCCTCAAGTCCATGCAGGAGACTCCCTAGCAATTTAGAAAAAACAGCAGACCAAGCACGCAACTCAGACCACCTGTTCTGGGAAACATTAAGAGTCACAAAATAAGAAAATCAGCAACAGTGTTAGAGAAAGCAAGAAAGCAGTTGGTGATATTATCGCAATGCTGTGGAGGTAAGGTCTCAGAGGAGGGTCTCAGACTGAGGACTGAAAAAAGTGGCTTCAATAGTTGTTGACAGCAAATATTAGACAGCAGGGGCAACCAAAGGTGGTCAGTAGATATCATATGGTCAAAAAGAGACAAACTGAGAAATAAACGGATGGGACATCAATGGGGAGACATATCTGAAAGTGTTTAAGATGGATAGTAGTAACATATAGGAGGGATGGGTGGGGGGAAGAGAGAGACAGAAGATACAAAAGAATGATACTGACGGAAGAAGCTTCCAGAAGCAACAGGAAGAGTAATACAAAAGGAGAAATACTTCTTATGCAAATGAGGGGTGAAAATACAGACAGACTGAGGAGACAGGAGAAGGTATGTGTGTGTAGGGGGGCACTGAAATCTAACAGGTACAGGTCCGAGAGCTTGGAACAGTTGGACGAGTTAGGGCACTGATCTCCAACTTTTTGGGCACCAGGGACTGATTTCCTGGAAGACATTTTTTCTGAGGTGATTATATGGGGATGGTTTTGGAATGATTCAGAAGAGCATGCAGCCAAAAGCTCTGCCACTTGCAGTTCACAGTAGGCTCCTAGTCCTGTGAGAGTAAAGTCACTGCTGATCTGACAGGAGGGGGAGCTCAGGCGCTAATTTGAGCAATGGGCAAGGACTGGAAGGTTGGGTCTAGCTGCTCACCTCTAGCTGTGCAGCTGGGTTCCGAACAGGCCAGACTGGCCAGGGGTGAGACCCCTGCGTAGGGGCTTCAAATAATTCCGGTCTCTGAGGTATAAAGGGCGTCCTCAAACCACTAAAATACAATTATTTCCTTATGATTACACAGAGGTTTATAAAGTAGTTGTTATTATAGTATTTGGTCCAAATTACACTAATGATCTCAGATAACTATAAAATGAGAATATGACCATAGATTCACTCTAACCTGCATAGTCACAGTAACTAGGAACACGGGTGAGGGTCTTCTTAGTAAAATGAAATTCTCTAACAGAAAAAAAAAAGTTCGAAGTGATTTAGTCTTTCTAAAAAAGTCAATACCACATCTGGCACACTACCATAACCTGAAAGTGCTAATGACCCTCATAGTAAAGGACAGTAGCAAATGGTTACACAACAGAAAGCTCACGTTCATCGCTAATTAAATCCAACTGCTGTTGTCGTAATGTTTTCGTGGGTTTTTTTTTTTTTTTTGGATGAATTCTTCCTGTATGTACTGATACTTCAAAATATCGCAGACGGGAGACAGTGGACGCGAGAGAAGTCTGCTGGGTCATTTTCGAGTTCTGGCCTCGGCTACAAGAATGAATCCCACAGCGTGCGCTCCTCAGCCCGAGGACTGGCGTGGAGAGCAAGGGGCGGAACAGGGGCGGAGGCTGTCAGCGCGGATGCTCGGCACTCAGTGCAGAGCACAGCGCCGGCCAGAGTTCCTTTGACGAGCTCCCTCAGAAGAGGCGCCCGCCCGAGAAGGGGCTGCCCCGGCTTCGCTGGGAGGAGGAGCTACTCACTGTCGATGTCCTCGATGAGGCTGGCGGTGCCGGGCATATAGTTCATTTTGAACTTTGATGAGGCTGCAAGGGATAGCGGAGGTGGGCCAGCACGTCAGACACCTCCTTCCTCCCACCGCAGTCGCCGCCTTGGCGGGACTGGAATCGGAACCCCGACCTCGATCAGCAAGTTTGTCCCGTCGCGCCGCGACCCGGGCCTGCCGGAAGCGCTTTCATATTCCCCCCTACTTCCGGTTCCGCATGCCCGTCCCCCGGAAGAGGAGGGCCAGTCCTGCATCCGGGTACAAAGTGCTACCAACCCTAATAAGCGGGGAAAATGACTGTAGATTGGATAGACAGTAGGGAACTGTATCTTCCCGTTTAAGGAGCACGGCGCCTCGCTCTCACTGCCCTCTTCCGAAGCCCTAGAGACCCGTGTAGCTGTCAACTCTCCCGGCTCAGCAGCGGGAGGGGCGGAGCAGAGCCTGGGATTGGCTGTTGTCGTCCGACCCCCTTCACTGCTGTCCAGTCGCACTGGCCCGGCAGCGCCTGCGCAATGGGCCTGCCGTAGGGGGCGGGAATCGGTTCTGGGCAGCAGAGCCCATGTCGGCCCTGAGGCGCTCGGGCTACGGCCCCAGTGATGGCCCGTCCTGCGGTCGCTACTATGGGCCGAGGGGTGGGGATGTGCCGGTGCACCTCCCTCCGCCTATGTACCCTCCTCTTCGTCCCGAATCTCCCCAGCCCCCCATTTCCTGGCGGGTGCGCGGGGGCGGCCCTGAGACCACCTGGCCCGGAGAAGGCGGAGGTGGCGAGGGCTACTATTCCTCTGGGGGCGCCTGGCCGGAGCCGGGTCGAGCTGGAGGAAGACACCAGGTAAGAATTGCACCGTTTGTCCTGGAGAATCCAATGAGGGGTCTTCGGTGGTGGGAGGAGAGGGGCATTGAGGGTTTGTAGCTCTAGGATTTGTCGGGGCTCGGATTTCATATTTGTTTTCCTTTTGAGGGTGTGTGGTGTGTGTGTGGAAGAGATGAGTGGGTAGACACGCTTGTGTTCTTTTCCCCTGCGTTTCTGTTTCGGCCACAGTGCGTGCGTGTGTGTGTGTGTGTGTGTGTGTGTGTGTGTGTGTGTGTGTGTGTGTTACCATTAAAAGGGGAAAAAGGAAGCTGCGTTGACCTCTGTGCGGGGCGATGTCGCTGGAGTGACAGGGCTCTGCTGGAGCTGTGGCAATTTATCCCGCGTGGCCAGAGTGGCTGCAGCCCCAGTCGTCGATCAGCAACCCCTCCCGCGGGGAAGAATCCTCAATGAGGAGGAGGGACCAGGGCATTTATGCTTTTGCCCCTAAAGCATTGCCCAGGATTGACTCATGGCATAGTCATTGTTGTAAAAGCAACTTTTCGTGCATTGTTTTATTTAACAGTTACCAACTGCAAGGTACATGTCATTATGGCACCTTATTTTCAAATAAAGAAGGTGGCGCTGAGAGGTTAACCCACTTGGTCAATATATTTGGACTTGTAATAATTTATTCTCTGTACACGAGCCAGAAGTATGTATCTTTTATTAATGCAGTATTCTTAGCATAATTGTCGTTATAGTATGGAAGGACACCTCTTTTTGTTCAGGAAGTATAACTTCCTCATTTGGTGAGACTGTAGTAGTGAAAGTCTCATACATTGCCTGTGAGATTGTAAAATGGTACAGTGCTTTGAAAAATAGTTGGACAGTTGCTCAAAATATTAAGCATAGTATTATATGATCCGGCATGTCCGCTCCTGGGTGTATACCCAAGAAAACCAAAAACGTCCTCATAAAAACTTTTATATGCATGTTCATACCATTATTATTTAGCAAGCAAAATGCCCATCAACTGATGAGTGGGTTAATAACAAAATGTGATATATTCATACAATAGATTATTATTTGGCCACAGATAGAACTGAAGTACTGGTACACAGTACAATATGAAGGAACCTTGGATCATGCACTGTGAGTGAAGCCAGGCACAAAGGTTGCATGTTACACGATTCTATTTATGTAAAATTGCAGAGCCACAGGGTGGGGGACTGGAAGTGTTGAGCAGCTTATGGAATTTTGGCTCTTTTTTGGGTTGTTTTTTGAGACAGGGTCTCACCATGTAGTCCAGGCAAGCCTTGAACTCACTGTGTAGCCCAGGCTGGCCTTGGACTGGCAGAGATCCTCCTGCCTCAGTCTCCTGAGTGCTAGGATTACAGGTATGTGCCATCATGCCTGGCCTTTTTTTTTTTTTTCCTTTTTTTGAGACAGGGACTTGCTATGTAGTTTAGGCTGGCCTTGCACTCACTGCTTATCCCAGGCTGGCCTTAAACTCGCTGCAGTCCTTCTGCCTCAGGCTCCCAAGTGCTGGGGTTACAGGCGCCTGGCTTTTTTTTGTTTTTTTGAGACAGGTCTTACAATGTAGTCCAGCCAGCTTTGAATGCTCTACTTGGCCCAGGCTACCCTCAGACTCACAGTAATCATCCTGCCATAGCATTCTGAGTGCTGGGATTATAGGTGTGCACCACCACACTCAGCCCATGGGGTTTTTTTTGAGGTGATGAAATGTTCTCAAGTTAGTGGTGATGATTGCACAGCTATGAATATGCTAAAGATCACTGAATTGTACACTTCTATTGGGTGGGTTTTATTAATTTACATCTCAAAAATTATATGAGAAAAAATTACCAGTGAGAGGAAAGATCCATATTTTCTGTGCTTAAATCTGGAATAAGTAGGCTGTGAGATTTTAATCCCATGGTCGGGTGATGAAATGGTTGACCGGTAAGTTAAAGATCAGTTGAAGGGAAATAGGTGAGGACGTCTAAACTGCTGACTTCTTTTGAGCTTGCTGTGTTATCAAAACAAAAATGTGTCTTCTAGGGTAGAGCAAAGAACAGGTTAGACAGGAAACGCTAAGATTTAGCCTTGTGTAGAGAGCTGTGGGGTAGGGTTGGGGTAGTAGGTGTGGTCCTGGGGTGACTGGGATAGTTGGAGATAAAACTGGACACGTGTAGTGGGCATTTTAAGAGTTTGCACTTTACTCTTGAGGTTTATTATTCTGAAACTTTAAAAGTGTGGGATGATAATCTCTTATAGAATGATTGAAAACCAATACAAAAGATGTGCATTGTCTTAACTTTATTGGTTTCTATGTGTTTTTTTTTTTTGTACTGGGGATCGAACTCGGGTCCTTGCGCTTGCGCAGCAGGTGGCGAAACCACTGAGCTAAATCCCTGGCCCAGGTTTGTATGTTTTTTTATGTTTTTGTTTATCAAATCTGTCAAACGAAAAAAAAATACGAAGAACTTAAAAAATCTTGATGCTCAAAAAATGTACTTCATGGACCAGAAGCTTGTGAGTCCATTAGAAATGCAGAATCTCCCCAGCATAGTGCTGCATACCTATAGTTCCAGCACTCTGGAGGCTGAGGCAGGAGGATCACCTCAAGTTTGTGGATGGCCAGCCTGGGCTACATCATGAGTTCAAGGCCAGCCTGAACTACATAGCAAGACCCTGTCTCAAAAAACAAAAAAGAAATTCAGAATCTGTCTTCTTTCAGACTTCCGGCTGCACTTATTAAGATGCCCAGTGATTCATACGTACATTGTTTGTGAAGCACTATATTATAGAAATGGATAAATGAGTTGTTATACTGAACCACAAAAAAATTTGACTATATTAACATATTTAAACGTGGTACGGGAAAAATTGAAAATTTATCATTTCCTCCATTTTTTTTTTTTTTTTTTGGTACTGAGGATTGAACTCAGGACCTTGTGCTTGCAAGGCAGGCACAGTGCTACTGAGCTAAATCCCTGGGCCCCTCCATTTTTTCAAACTTTGAAGAGTAAAACTTTTCTTACCCTGTTAGCTATCTAGAAAGTATACTGCAAACTGGGTGTGGTGGCACCTAAAATTCCAGCACTTGGGAGATGGAGGCAGGTGAATCACCAGGAGTTTGAGGTCAGCTTGGGCTACATAGTGAGTTCAAGGCCAGTCTGAACTACAAAACCAAAAAAAAGGGAAGATATAGTGCAAGTACCCAGTACATTTACTTTGTAGTTAGGACCCTCACCCAACAGCATGTGCATCCTGTGAGCTTGTCGGAAATGCCATGTTTCAGGTCCTGTCCCAGAGCTAACAAGACCCCCTAGGTGATATATATCCCATCCCCCCCCCCAAGTCATCAAGAGAGCAGGCCAAGGCCAGAGCTGCAGTCTCTTAATAACCTCATTTTAGAAGCAACTTACTATCACTTTGCCATCTGTTATCTTAGAACAATGTGGTAGAATGTGAGAGGCAGCCAGGGGCCAGTGGTGTATGGGAGTCATCTTTGAAGGATGGCTGTGTCAGGAAGAGAGCTCAGTTGGACTTCTGGAGGATTTCAGAAGAGAGGTCACAAACACATGCATCTGAGCAATGTCTAAATGTAGAGATCTTTTTCCTAACATCTTATAAAAACTCCAAACATACAGAAAAGTTGAAAGAATTTTAAATGAACACCCATATATCTACCACCTAGGTTCTGTAGTTAGCACTCTGTATTTGCTTTTATCACATCTATCCATTTTGGTTTTGGGATGCACAGATAGATTTGAAAGGGTTTTTTTTGTTGTTTTGTTGTTGTTTTTTTCTTTTTAAAGACAGGGTCTGGGTATGTAATTCAGTCTGGCCTTAAACTCACTATATAGGCCGTGCTGGCCTCGAACTCATGGCAATCATCCTGCCTCCCAAGTGCTAGGAATATAGGTATGCCCCACATGCCCAGCTAAAAGATATTTTCAAAGATGAAATTAGGAGGATCCTTGGAAGTGAAGGATGTGGGAAAAGATGATTCAGAGGTTTTAGTATTTCACATAATAGGAATAAAAAGGAGGAACAGGGTTTTTTTGTTTGTTTTTGGCACCAGGGATGGAACTTGGGACCTTGCACTTGTGAGGCAGGCGTCATTGTCACTGAGCTAAATCCTAGGCTCAGGAGGAACTAGTTTTTATGGGAAAATAATGGTTTAGTTTTGTACCAAAAGAAGTAATGATTGGTTAAGAGAAGAGCCTTAAGAAATACAAAGACTTGGCAAGGAGCTTTGTGCTGCCTTTATTTCCTTTCTGTAGGAAGCCAGTTAGTCAGGGTGGTTACGTATTGCTCTGGATGCAATACGTGGAATTGATTAGAGAGATACTTACAATTTTCTGATTTTGCTTTGCTTTTGTAATTTATTTTTTATTTTTTATTTTATTTTATTTTTTGGTACCGGGGATCGAACTCCCGTCCTTGCGCTTGCAAGGCAGGAGGTGTTGCTTTGCTTTTCGTTGTTGAATTTTAGTCTTTGTGGCAGTAAGGAATTGGTTGTGGGAAGGGAATGAGAGGTATGGAACTCAGGAGGGAGGTGGGGATGGAGATAGCGATTGTGTCATCAGGTGTAACTGAGTCACCAAAGTTTGAGCAGTGTTGGGGGTGAGAGACTGGGGTCAGAGAAATGGAACTGAGAAGATAGTGAGGCAGTGCTAAGAATTGTGGGAGATTCAGGAAGGTTATACAGTCCAAACCAATGTGGACAGTTATTTTGGAGATGATATGAGAATCAAAAAAAGCTGTTGGATTTGGCAATTTAAAAGATGTTAGGGGCCAGGGATTTAGCTCAGTGGTTCCAGCACCTGCCTCATAAGTGTAAGGTCCCGAGTTCGATCCCCTGTACCAAAAAAACAAAACAAAACAAAATAAAAGATGTTGATTTGTGCTCGCTTCGGCAGCACATATACTAAAAATGTTGGTTTTAGTGATGGGAGTTTAAAATAGTATTAAGGCAATGAATGGGAAATTTGGAGAAGACAGCTATACAGCTATTGTAAACTATATCC